GTGTGCAAACCTTCCCTCAGTTCACGATAAAGTTTAAAAAAGAATGTTCATGGGAAATTTCTTCTCTTTGAATTCCACTTTCCTGCAGGCCCCCTCCCCTCCCAATGCTCTTCTTGTTAGCCGCTGCTGGTCAGCTCTGAACTCTGGGGAACCCCATGCACAAGAAAATAAAGCCCTGTCTGGTTCTGCCCCATCCCTGTGATCCGCTGCAGATGGGACTCCTGTGATCCACAGAGTTTTCAGGGCCCATTTCCACACGTAGTTCTCCAGGCCTTTCTCCCTAGTCTCTCAGTCTGGAAGCTTCACTCACACCTGTTGAGCATCATGCCTGCCTCCCCAGACTCCAACTTGGATCTCCCACATGAAAGATGAGCCTCACCTCTGCCCCCGAATTTTACATGTTCTTTCAAACACACCTTTGTTCCTGAATCTGAGCATGCCTTGTTTCCCTGTGCCTCATTTTATGACCCTTTGCAAATAGGGCTATTCTTGTTTTGTTTTAAAGAAACTGAAGGCTTATCTACCTCGAGCAAGTCCATTCCATGCACCTGTGCTCACGCTCACCTCATGTCCTTATCCCATTGACAATACTGTTCCCTTTCACAATATTCCAACCTTTTCTTTGTGTTAGAGTCACTGGGAAACCCCAGAACTCCTGACTCACGGTATTCAGGTGGTCTGAGGCCAAACTCACCCCACCTCTGAGGTATATCCGTGCTTTTCAGAGGCAGGCCTAAACTTGCCCACATGGAAAATTTCCTGGATGCTTTTGGATCCCAGGAAGTTATTTGCAAAAACTGTGGTTTGCCAGGGCCATGCTCCTGGGTGGTTCCGATTCATGAAGAGGTACCTTCAGAGCCAGCAGGTCACAGAGGGCACAGGGGAAGGCAGAGGCCTTAACACTGTGCCCACAGTATAATTCCCGCTAAAAGCCGCCCCCCAGGCACTGCAAGTTACCAGTGCCCCAGGAAGTCCTCCTTAGCCCCCTAGACCCCCCGAACTGCCCCAGTGCCCAGCCCAATTATTGACATGGTTTCTGGGCTGTTTCTAGATGGCCAGCCTCACCCGGCCCTTTTAGTGCTACAGACAACATCCTCCCCAGAGATGTGACTGAAAACAAGCAGGAAAACGGCCTTGCAACAGGCCGAAAGAGTGTCGCTGGGCTGGGCTGGGTCGGGCCGGCCAAGCAATTTTTAAGTCAACAGAGCTCGCTCCAAATGCCAAGTCAGCAAGGGTACTTCCAAGGGTACACCTCTTTAGGGGCCAGCAGGTGGATTCTACCACCTGCAGGTCTAGAAATCTAAACTGGGCCCAGCCCTTCCTCACTCCCACGCAGTAAAACCTCCTGTGGCCGTCTTGAAGCTGTACAAAGTAGCCAGTGTTCAAGGCCTTTCCATCAACAAATAGCTTACTGTGCATCTACTGTGTGCCAGCTACTCTTTCTGGGTGTGAAGACAAAGTACTGAAAAAGGGGGGTCCCGTTGGAAAGGATCTGGACAGACACTTGTAGGTTGCAGTGGCCTGTGTGCTAGCTTGTTTTGTATTTATTGTGAGCATGTGGTGGCTCCATACAACAAGCACTGGGCTGTAAAAACCACAAGGTCCGCAGTTTGAGCCCACCAGCCACTTCGCAGGAAAAGGATGAGGCTTGCTGCTTTTTCCAAGAGTCAAAAAGCCTCAGAAGCCCTATACAGGGACTTGACATTAACATAGGGTGGGGAGGTGCAGGTATGGGGAGCAGGCCCACTAACAAGGTGATGCTGTTGGATGTTAAGTGCCGACAAGTTGGTTCCGACTCATAGTAACCACCCTGTATACGGTGTCTGAGGAGTGAATGGTTAATTTGAACCACCGACCTTACAGTCCAGTGTGTATCCTACAGCGCTATACCACGACTCCCCAAACAGAAAGTAATGGAAGACGGGGAGCAAGGCCTGCAGCTTTAGATAAAGGCAACAACAATGACCAAGTGGAGGACCGATGTGCGGCACAGCCAAGAAAAAACCAAGGAGAGAGCTAGCTGGTACCCAGCAAGGAGAACTGAGAGTAGAGGCGGGGTGAAGGGCTGCGGGTGAGGCTCCCACTTACAGACGGGCCACCTCCTAGCTCAGTCCCCTGCTGACATAGGGCCGCTCCACCCAGATGGACTCAGTGAGAATTTACATTTTAACCAAATTCCCAGGTGATCATGTCTACCTAAGAATCACCTGGAATCCTGGTGTGGCGCTGTGAACTAATGCGCAGGGCTGGTGCTTCAAGCTTACCAGCTGCTCCTCATAAACCTTATATAGGGACGCCATGGGCTGGAACCGACTCTACAGTACTTAACAAGAATCACTTGGAGTCCCAGTGTGGCGCTTTAAGATAAGCACTGACCGTAAGGTCGTTTTGAACTACAAGGTCCCAGCGGTTCAAACTCACTAGCTGCTCCTCAGAAACCCTATACAGAATCACTAGGCACTTTAAGAACCACCTGTGGGTCTTGTTAAATTGTAAATTCTGATCTCTCTGGGGTGGAGAGGCAAATTGTCAACAGGGGGTCAAACGGGAATGAACCGGTTCACAGCTGTAGGGGGTGGTAATGGTGAAAGTAGTTTGGGGTTTTTGCAATAAAGGTGGGGAGCGCAGTGTTGCGTGCGCGGTAGTAATAGGGAGACTGCAGCAGAAAGGAGAGGCTGTGGGGAAGGAGGTGAGGAGCCTGTCAGTGGACAGACAGCGTCCCAACCTCCTTTTCCAGGCTCTGAGCCTGTGTTCCAATCAACGCCCCCCTGCTCCCCCTCATCCTAGAGCCTGTTTTCCCTTTCTCCAGGAATACGTCCCCAAAGAAAAGTGGTACCTGTCATTACATGATTACCAATGTCAACCTGTCAATCAAACAGCCCCTCGCTCCAGTCTACGACCAGCACAGGGAGGACTGCATTAGTAGCAAGCATTCCATGTTGGCCTGATGACACTATAGGATGGTGCTTTCAGGACTAAAGATTTATCTCATGTTGATTCTGACAATGAGTTAGGTGCTAGCCTGGCCTTACAGAAACTTAAGCCATAGAAAGGGGCAGCGGATGCCTCATGGGGAGGGAAAAACAAACCGTGGGGGTGGTGTAGCAGAATGGCTCGCCCCTGTCGGGAATCTTTGTGCAGGGCCCCGAGGGAGGCTTGTGCACTGGAAGAGGGTCCAGCTATTACCTCAGTCACCTCTTCAGAGTGAGGGGTCCGTTGTTGGGGGCTCCAGGGGTCAATGCTGCAATCTCAGACCCTTCCCCAGTGCCTGGCCCACAGTGCTACATGAAGCCAGGCTCTTCCCACGCCCTGCCCGCCTATCTCCAACTGCAGAGAATGCTGAATGACATTGAGACCTTGTGAAAGCCGCGTGCGTGCGTGTGTGTATGTGTGCGCGCGCGCGTCTGTCTGTCTGTCTACAGTCTCTGTCTTACTTGACGAGGGCAAAACCGAGCAACCTCCTGTTATGTCTGTGGCGATGAGGGTACTTAGCGCATTTTATTTGTCAGACTATGTGAGAGCCTGGGATTGCTGGGTGCAAGCAAGTTGATTTGACTCATAGTAAGGCCACACCAAAGATCCGAAGTGCCCCCCAGGGGGGTTCCTAGGTGGAAAGGTCTAAGGGAGCAGGTCTTTTCCCTCATGGAGCCGCTGAAGAGCACAGCCCGACGGTGTGGTGCAGAGCCAAGCCAGGAATCCTTATTGTGAGAACATATAGATGTAAGGGCATCTCAATCTTGCTTTCTCAGAACCTCCAGATCTTATGATACAAGTCCTTAGTAGAGCTTTCCCCACTTCTGAGTAGGTGGGATGTGCTTTTCAGGAATTTGGAAAAACTAGCTGAGGTGCCATTAGCACCTTCACACCCACTCACCCCCTCATTGGGGGGACCCAGCAAGCCTGGATAAGGCAGCTGGAACAGCCAAGCAGAGCTCCACCTTCCAGCAGACTAGTAAGAGCCATGGATGGTCTTCACCAGAAGGAGGCTGAGGCCTCTCCCTTTACACGTAAGGAAACTGAGGTTGAGAACCCTTCGGCCCCTTAGCTGTGTGTGGCTCTAGGGAACCACTAGCTTCTGATCAGTACCAGTCCCAGCTCATGGAAGGCAATTACCAGGGATGGGAATCAGAGCGGGCACCCACTGGAGAGGCCTGCTGAATCAAAACCATCCCTATAGGACTGTATCCAAAAGGCCCACCCAACACTAAACACTGGTGAAACATTGCTTCCCTGTCATCCCATCACCCAGGCTGGAGAAGGGACAAGCGTGGCATCCTGGATCAAGGAGGCTGAGAAGTGGACTCAGCCACTGCAGGAATCACAGAGCATGAACATGAATTTGCAAGGAATTACCAAGGAGCTGGTTGTAGGCGCATTTTCAGCCTGGGTACAAGAGGCCTGCAGCCAATGATTCATGGGAATGACTAGTTCCTGTTTTTGTACTGGGGCTCAGAACCGTGGGGGGCAATTTGGGCTGGAGGCCTGAAGCCTGGGTTTTCATTCCAGCTGGCTCGCCCACGGGTGTTATTAATGATTACGAGTAACTGCCCTTTACCAAGTGCCAGGCACCGGCTGGGCTTGGGGGACACATCTCATTTACTCTGCATGGGCGGCCAGGGGAAGTGTGGACGATTATCATCTCCGTCTTAAGAGATGAAGAAACTGAGGTTCAGAGAGGACCAAGTCACCAACCATCCCAAAGTCAAGCAGCAACTGGTGGGATCAGTCTGAACCCTTAAACCCAGAACCCTGGTTCTTAGTAACCCCCCTCTCATCTGAGTTTCCATCTCCCCAGGAAGAATGACGAGTGGGCGAATTAAAACCACCAGCTTCCGGGGCTCCGGGGAAAGGTCCCCAGGAGGAGGGGGCGTGGCACCCCCTTGCAGCTCAGCCCCAGGGCCCGAGGGGATGGGGAAAGGAAAGCGCAGGAGAATTTGGCTGCAGAAACGGAACTCACACAGAAAAAAAAAAGGGGGGGGGGGAAGTGGGGGGGTACTCACGTCGATGTTTCTGATGATGACGCACTTTCCATTGGTGTAAATAAAATTGTTGCCCTTAGGGTCGCCGCCGAGGATTTTGGAGACCCCCCTCTCCACCTGGGGGAGGCTGGCGAACACTTTCTCTGCGAAGACACAAGCGCAGCGGACACTGGAGGGGCAGCCCCGGTGGGGCTGGGCGGGGGACAGGGGCCCTCGGCCGGTCTCAGCCGGTCACCTGTTGCCTCCATCGGGAGGGGCGGCGGCCACTTGGACGGCGCGCAGGGGATCGCCACTTCCTGGTCCGCGCGCCCCGCCAGGCCCCTCGGGGAGCGGGACTCCTAGGGCCCAGTCCACACGGCCCCAACTTCGGGGTGCCCCCCAGGCTCGGGGTCGCCGCCGAGCATCCCCGGGGAGCTGGGGAGACGCCACCCCCGCCCCACGCCCGGGGACCCCGCCAGGCCGCTCACGTCTCCGCCGATGGCCACCGGGGCGCAGGCAGCGGGAACGGACGAGCGTGTGGCCAGAGGTCGAGCCCACACTTACTGATCTCATACGGCATCCTGCCCACTTGTTAGCGCCACGCTCGCCTAGAGCCCCTGGCCGATGCGCACGGGCCGCGCTGCGACTCCGTCTAGCCAAGTCCGCGCGGGGACGGGCCGGAAGCCGGCGCCGGGCGTGCCGGGCGGGCTGGGGGCGGTCGCCGGGGCTCAGAGCCGGCTCGCGCCCTGCCCTGCGCGCTGCCGCTGCGGACGCCCCGAACCCGGAAGCGCGGCCCCGCGCGCGGCTCGCCCCCAGCTTTGACCATATATAGTCAAGCGCTCAGCTCGCCGGCTGAAGCCCCAGTGCGCCTGCGCGGCCCGGGTCCGCTCCTCCCCCGACGTGCCCCGCCCCTGGGGCCCGCCTACAGGAAATGACGTCACCAACGCGCCTCCTGCGGCCCCGTGAAAAGGCAGCGCGAAACACCCCGCGCTTTAGAAGGGTCTTCTCCGCGGGGAAGAGAGGATGGGTTGCATTCGACAACTTTAGATGCTTAGGTTTATTTAAAAGCTGCTAAAAAGCGGGGTGGAGTTCTGGTGTGCCGCTGTAGGTTAATGCGCCAGACTGCAAAGCCGTTTGAACTATAAGGTTGGCGGTTCAAGCTCACCAGTCACTCCTTGGAAACGCTATGCAGGGTCGCTATGGAACGGAACCGACTCGACAGCACTTAACAACAAAAAGCAGGGTGGGCTGGGATGTGAAGCCGGACGCCTTTTTTACTGCCGTTTTCCCTTGGCTGGCGAGGCCGTGAATTAGCGGCGGGAGTCCCCTTTCGGCGGTGTGTGCGCCCTGACTTTGCAGCGCTGCTTGGGTCTGCAAACATAAGATTTTTTTTTCTATTCTTGCTAATATTTTATTTTCTGAAGCGCGACCTAAGGGAGTAACCCTTCTTGGGATAGTTATTGGGATAGCCCCCTTTGGGGATCCGAGCGGGTACTCAAGACTTTTTTTTTTTTTTTTAAGAAAGCTGCGAAGCTAAGAAAGAATGTCTTAAGAAAACCAGGGTCTACTTTCTTAAAAAGCAAGGCCAAGTAAAAAACCTTGATCAAGACTAGCAGTTAATGAGAAGGGGGCAAGAAAAATAGCGGGGAAATGCGGGCTTTGGTTGGAAACAGTTCGGGGTGTGGGGGAAGAAGGTAAATGGGAGGAAATGTAAGCAGCCGAGGAGGACGACTCAGAAGTTATGAAGCTCAAACTCAGAAAACCTGGGAAGGATTCTTTCTTTCTGTAGAAACTCTAGGACATCTTGTTAGTCTTAACTTTCAAAATGTATCTTACTTTAGTTTTCCAGCCATTGTTAACCCCAGGTCTGTAACCAGGGAAAAAAGGTTACTACCTGCCACTGATGTAGCCAATATTCAAGGATTAGATCTAGAGAGCCAAGAGCAAAGCAAAGCGTTTACTGAGTGTGGATACTTGAAGGACGGCGGAACAGAGAATCTCCCAGGAAAAATAGGAGGGGAGTTTCATAGGGATTTCTGGTATGAGGACTGAGGGGGGGTCCCGGGAACTTCAGAAACTATATATTCTAGGTAAAACTGACCAACCTAACCAGGCTGTCTTCTGAGACCACTGATCTTCAGGTGGTGTTTATTAGTGGCCATTATAAGATGTAGTTCTCGGCTAGCCCTACAATCGTCCTTGGGAATTAGGGGTTAACTACGAAAGTTGTAGTGTGGAGCTGTGGGATAAGTACTGGACTACTAACCTTAAAGTAGGTGGTTCGAATCCACCAACTACTAAAAACCTATGCAGGGTCACCATGAGTCAGAAACACTGTGCTAAATAAAGCCGTGGTGTGGCACTGTAAAACAAGCACTAAGTCGGCTAGCCTCAAGGTCAACAGTTCAAACCCACCAGCTGTTACTTGGAAACCTTTTATAGAAAGTCGCTATTAAAATTTACTCCAAGTCCATTTTAAAAGGGGAGTAGGAGCTCTGATAGCGTGGTGGTTAAGAATCGGGCTGCGACCATAAGATCAGCATTTGGAAACTACCAGCCGTTCTGTGGGAGAGAAAGATAAGGTTTTCTACTCCCGTAAAGACGTACAGTCTCGGAAACCCTATACAGAGTCGCTATGAGTCAGAACCGACTCGGCAACACACAAAAACAATAATTATGGACTGCCTAACTGACATAGACAGAATGAGGCGCAGTTGGGGTTGGTGGATTACAGGGGGCAGCTGGGGTTGGTGGGATCAATCTTAACTATTAACTTGTATACCAGGGAACTGGTGTGGCCCTTTAGGATAAGGACTGGATTGATAGCCACAAGGTATGCAGTTCAAACCACCAGCCACTCCTTGGAAATCCTGTACAGAGTCGCTATGGTTGGAACTGGCTCTATGGCATTTCACAACAGAAGAAATGACAAATTGCCAAGTCCACTTCAACTCATTGTGACCTTATAAGGCAGAGGGGAAGAACTGCCACCCCCCACTCCTTGGGTTTCCACGCAGTAATCTAAGCCGACAGCTACACTTTCTCCCAAAGAACTATTGGATTTGAACTGCCGGCCTTTTCCGTTAGACCACCCATTCGCTGAGTGCATAATCACTGTGCTATCAAGGGCTCCTTTTAAACCCAGGGAGTTGAAGTCAAGAGACAGTCTCACCTTTCTCCCATGGATGCCAACTTTTGGGGTTGATAGTTCAATGCTTAGCCCATAATTGTCACCAGAGCTTTTAAAACCCTACTACCTCCTTCCCCCCCCCCCCCCCCCCAAAAAAAGAAAAAAACTACTATGGACTTGATTCCAATTCACAGCGAACCTGTCCTGTACAAGGTTTCTGAGGCTATAAATCTTTACAGGAGCAGAAAGCCTCATCTTTCTCCCACAGAGTTGTTTTAACTGCCGACCTTAACTGTTACCAGACTAGTGCTTATCTCACAGTTGAGTGCCATCGAGTCAGTTTGACCCCTAACAAGGCTTCCAAGGAGCAACTGGTGAGCTTGATACACCAACCTTTGTGGTTCAAATCGACTTTACCTTCTAGTGCATTAACGCGCAGCACCACACCAGGACTCCTGTCTTACAGTGGTGGCTCTTAATTCCATAGGATCAAAGCATGGAGTTCCTCATCACAGCTCACTAAGTGTCGCCTGGGTATTCAGACTGTTCCCGCTCCAGCAACTTGGTCTCCTTAGTCCTCCAGGAACGCTCCTGGTACCTCCTGCCCCAGGACACTGGTGGCACCTCTTCCTGTTGGGGAATTATCTTGCTCAAAGATCATATATGCAGGTGTCTCTTATCCTCAAGTTAACTTCTCAAGGAATGATACCTGCTCTTGTTAAAGTGCCCTCGAGTCAGGTCAAACTCTATTGTTGTAGGGTTTCCAGGGAGCCTCTGGTGGTTCTGAACCGCTGACAGTTGCTTATCCTACAGTGTATGCCATGCCAGGATACCACAACCTTCTAGGACCTGTGCAAACACTCCTCACCCTTTGCTGTCTTGGCTGTGTAGAGTGCCTTATTCATCACGTGGGGAATCCATAATGAAAACCTGGCCAGTGAACTAGAGGTTGGGGGGGGGGGGGGCTACAAACGTGTAAAGTCTTTGTAGGAAATCCTGAGATTACAAAAGCAGAAACAACACAAAATAACCTTCCGGGGGTGGGGGGTGGGGACTCTTACAGCTGTTCTGAGAACCCAGGATTTCATAGAGACACCTGTGTAGTGGGGCTAGAGTTAAGAGTCAAGAGCGTACACCTGGAAGTAGCCTCTCGTGCTTTTACATAATGGGGAAGGACTCTTGGAAGTAGAATTTAGGCATTGGGTCAGCTTCAACTTCTGGCAAACTGGTAACCTCCGCGTGCAGTGTTGTTGGAGTTAACAGCTGTTGAAGATGAAGCCACAAAGCAAACCTGAGCAAAACATTCCCAAACCGCAAGCAAGGAAAGGAGGATGCTGGGCTTGGTGACTTGGTTTTAGTTTATGAGAAAGTAACAGTCCAGGGCTTAATGGAAGTCTAGATGGAGGGATGCAATTTGCTATAAAAATCACTTTAATGTTTCTAGAGACTGACTTTGGCACACTTGTAGTTTTCCCAGCTCCTTGGACAGCTTTGTTGTTGTTGTT